AACTCTGACAGTAAAAGTGGACAAAAGAGATCTAATTTAGAAACACGTTTAAATGCTTAGAATGTAATATTATATGCATTGCTTCTAAGTCTTACACATGAGTTCTGAGTCCCAGCATAGATAAATCTCAAAAGAGACTAGAAGTAGCTTTGGTAATTTTCTCCATAAAACTGCATGTGGGAAGCATGTTAGGAACCTCATTCCTTTCTCTTAAGGAGAGGTGGTTTGCTGACATCTTTGTGCCTTTTCTCAGCTCAGGGCAATAATCTACTACAGCTACTGTACTTTGATACTTTTGTTTCTCACCTACTTCACAACAGTCTTCTTCATGTACTATCATTATGAATTCTGGTTGTGCTTGAACTACTGTAATCTCGTCCTCACTTATTGCATTTGTAGAGTTGGGTACTGATATGGAAGACAAGAAATATTTCAATATTGTTTTTTTTTTCCTCTTTCCTTTTTGGCTTAAAAGTCACATGGATGGTCCCAATTTAAAGACTAGAGCATAAATTCTGTTCACCCTAAATTAAGCTAGCTGGGGTGGAAATTGCTATTTTGATTTCAGTACATGCTTTGATAGCAGTTTTTGAGACCCAGTGATTCTGAATTTTATATTTTTACACATCTCAACAGATAAATTTGGCCAACGAGCATTTGTTGGAAAAGTGTGCATGGATATGAATGACAGTGTGCCACAATACAAAGAGAGTACTGCTGACTCTGTCCAAGAGACAGAAAGGTAAGATGATTAAATTGATGATGCAACCTTTAACAATAAGACCTTTTTTGTACATCTGAAAAGTGAATGTGAAGCTAACTAAGAAGTTACAGGTGTACATTTATTAGAAATAGGTTTTTTTCTTCTGACAGTGTTGTTTCCTACGGTTCTGGCAATTCCTGCCTACCCAGTCACTGTACAGCCTAAGTGGTTTCTCTGTAGCTCTTCCAAAGAAGGGAGATGCAACAGCTCTAGAGTTTGGAGAGAGTATGCATATGTTGTTGTCTGTTTTCTGCCTCCTCTTTTTTTTTTTCTTCCTTCACAGGTCTGTGTGTGGAGTTGATGTGACCTGACAGAGCATGGTGGGGTGTCAATCAGTTCCTTTATCTCCATTAACTTCTGAGCTATTTCCTTCCCCCATTTAGGATAAAGCTTTTTTCAAGTTGTAAGAGTCACCTTTCATATACTCCATTTAAACATGCTGTGGTTCTCCTCTCCTCCAACATAGCACTACTGACATTACTCTAACTTGCAGCTGAGAGAATGAAGGCGAATCAAATCAAGGCGATGTCCATGGTGGAGGAGACCCAGGACTGGAGTATGGCATCCTGCTGTCTTAGGTTTCCTTTGTCATTTGCATCCCTGCGCAGAAAATGCTTAAGCAGACATACAGCTTTTCTCACGACACTATTTATTACTTGTATAAGTGTTTCAAATATCATGCTGAAAGAGAAAATAAGTAACAGTAATATAAACATGTTATGGCACTTAAAGTGAAGTTGCTACCTTATTTTTGCAAATCATGCTAGAAGAATGCCAGTAAAAGTTAGAAATTATCATGGATTTCTAATGGTGCTTATATTTAAAGACATTTTAAAAACATATAGTATTAGTCATTTGCACTCTACTAATATTTGTTCTCCATCACATAAATCCCCAGTTTTCACAATAAAGCATGAGTCTTGCTGAATGATACTGAAAGTGACAGAACTTTCAGTTCTGATATTTTTTAAAGCTTCAAAATGATCTAAACAGCTTTCTTTTTGATACCTATCTTATGTCTCATGTAATTGTGTTAATAAGTGTTTCTCAGCTCTGGACAAGAGAGTGCCACAAGTATCCCAGAGCTGTCTAGAGAAGAGAGCTATGTGCTTGTTAACATGGATCAGGAGTACTTACCTCATCAGGCCTGAGTCCCAGCAATGCAATTGCAAAAGGATGAAACAGCTCTTCCTTTAAGAGGCCAACCTTTTTTTTTTCTTTTTTTTCTTTTTTTTTTGAAGAACCTAAGAAATGTGATCTGTCAGAAAATGTATTATGTTGATTTCAGTTCAGATAAACTCCAGAAATATTTATATTGTATGCATAGAAATAATATGCAATTCCAAGTGCTTCATATATTAAATCTAAGTTCAAGTCAAGAACTTGCTACTAATAGTTGTAGTCACCTGGAAAGAGGAAGATCTATGTTAAAATCTGTTCTGCTTCAGAAGACAGTAGTTTGAACTTGAACTTCTTTCCTCATAGAGAAGTACATAAGCCAACAAAGTACAGGGTATTTGGAGAAAGGTATTTCAGTTTTGAAACAGTGCTGACACTGTTCAAAGAATGTGAAAAAGAATGAAAACAGCCATGTGGAGGTTTTGGATTATAACCTGAAATTTATGCTTGTGTTTCAGTTTCTGTTCCAGTGAATATTTTATTCTTATATCATGTGAATCAGTAAGAGGAGAGAGAGAGAGAGACAATACCTGATTCACATTGCATTTTGGCTCTCAGAGTTAGACAATGGTGGACTCAAACACCTTTGGTCATTGCAGAAGTTTAGCTTAGGTCTCTCACTTCCAGCTGTTGATCTGGCACCAGCTTCAGTGTTGTGAATCTAGCATCCAGCATTATTTTCTTTTCCATCTGAATATATTTGACAAATTTGATTCAGTGTTTGTTGTGACCAGAATTACAGGCTTTTCTGAATATGAACATAAAAATTCACAGAGATCCTGTCCAGAATCCATCTCAAACTGGCTTTTAGAAATGGTTTGCATACATTGTGCAGATGAGTTTTCGAAGAATTTCTTCCCTGCAAAGTCGGAGGAAGTTTTATTTGCTCATCTGCGTTATTCATATTCACTGCTTGGTGGTTTTTGTAGGGGTCCCTGAGGTAACTTCTTTTATTTAATGAAGTAAGCAAATCTATACTGTGTTTTCCATAAGGTAGATAATCTATATGCTATCGTTAATATAAGCATTTTCAGAAAATCAAGGGTCCTTTAAGTGAATGAGGACTTACGGAACTTCTGTGAGGTATGAAATATTGCAGCATCTTTTAAAAATAGGATTTTAAATAATATATTTATTTAGAATATATTTAATGCTGTAATTTAAATTCATGAACAGAAAAATTTAAGTTGTTTTTTTTTTTCTTCTAATGTTGCAGCTGTAGCTTATAATGCTGTTGTCAATGGATTTAATGTAACATGTATTTGATTTTCAGTGAGAATTCAGAGTAATTACTATGTGTCTAATGTTAATTATTGCAAATGAAAAATACTCTGCATATGCAGGGTCAGGTTCACAATTAGCATAATTTGGTGTAACTATCCTGACTTCGTTGTGTTGCTTCTTTTTATTTCATCTGAGAATCTGGCCCAGCTTTCTATAAAAAAAAAAATCTATGTCTGAAATGCTTAATAGGATATCTAAGTAAATATTTTCCTTATTTTTCATAATTTATAACACAGATGACAGATTTATAACAGATTGTTTTCTACTTTTTTTCAGGTTTGTTAAAGAGCTACTGGAAAAGAAAGTAAGTAGATTTCTCCTTTGTGTTCACTTCTGTATTCAGAAGATGCTGTTTGAAACAGTTAATCCTGCTGACAAACTCTGCTGGCGAAGTGACAAATCAATAAATACACTTCTTTCTCTGTAGTAGACATATCATTAGTCCAAAGAATGTTCTGCTGGCCATGTTGTTGAGAAATGGACTTATAGCACAGTATATTCAGTTTTGTGTGGTCAGAGCACAGCAAACTAATGTTTTGTGAGTATTCTCTTTCGACTTTAGTATATTCAGCTTCCTAGAAAGGACCATTTTCTGTTAAAGAGAAGTCAGTCGATCACTATGTAGTATATAAATAGATTAGTAAAAGAAGTTATCACCAGCAGAAATCAGTGTTTTTACAGTACAGTTACTAATGCATTACCAGATAGTATTTTGGGTCAGCACATATCTTCCAATGTGTTTCTAAAGAAATTCAGGTTTACACTCCTGAGGTAAAGGTAAAGGTTTGCACTCCAATATTACAAGCAAGGGTACTTTTCTTATCAGCCTTTTGTGTTCAGTGGCTTCATTTTTGACATTTATATCTCAAAATAATCAAGAACAGATGCCTAGAGTTTAATGCTTAAATCACAGGTATTAGTAGAGTAAATTGGCTAATCTGCAGAAGTCCTGAGCATCTTGTATCTGGGAGATGGTATAAGAAAGTGCAAAACAAGTTACCATATAAAGTCTTAGTGGTGCTGTGTGCACAACTATTGCCTGTGACTGAAGGCAGAGTTGTAATGCCATTGTCCATTTTTAATAAAAATTTTAATCCAGAAGTGCAAGGTGTAAAGTAAATATCTGTAGCTCTAGTGTTGGTGTCTTCTCCACTGTTTCCTACTACGTAGTATATCTGGTGCTACCACTAATCATCCTGTCTAGGGAATAGCTTGTTGCTATCATGAGTGGAGAAGATGGAACAAGAAAAAGGCTTTGATTTTACCGAACTCTGCAGTTTTGGATCATTATGTCTTTGATATTCACAGAAGCAGGACTCAGAAAAACATCTGGTCATTCATCTGACTTAACTTCTCGTAATGCTTACTGGACTGTCAGCAAATAGCAAAAAGTATCCAGTGCTTCTCCTGAAGTCTGGTAAAACCTCAGTGACTCAATGAAAGAGTTATAATGAAAATAGATTCTTTACTAAGGTTCATTAAAACTATTTTCAGGAAAAACCTTTGATTATTTCTGTGGTGAAATTTCTCATAAAAATAAAGAAATGACTGTACGACTTAATTTGAGCTGGCAAGGATGCAGTAAGGAATAAGCGAAGCAGACAAAATGTAAGTGCTTTGTAAATACTTGTCTTGGTTATGTTTACTGATATATAGATGTAGAATCCCAAGCATGTCTTTTTAATATTTTCAGTATCCAAGGGTACAGCCTATAATAACGCCCCGCTTTGGCCCTTCCTGCACAGAGGATTTGCTGTGTGCACTCGGCGAGATAGCACAGGCTCGCGATCTCCATGTGCAGGTAAGCTCTGAGAGCTCAGTTTACAATTTAAATAGTTTGGATAGATAACATACATACAGACCAGGGATTTTTCATAATTTCAGAAAAAAACTTATACCACATTCTTACCTTGGAGCCTGTCTTTTAAATTCCTCTAAAATTATTAGTGGTACTCTGCAAGAACACTGTGACCTACACAGGAAATGAGAAGGCTCTTAGCTGTAAAGATGTTCAATTCAGCAAGCTCCAGCGCATGGTCACTAGGAGACTGGCACTCAGCATCGTAGGTTAGAGCAACCCTTGGGCTGCGAAGGTTGCTCTCCCTAATGCAAGGCTGTTATGTCAGTCTCTCTGCCTCCTGCTGTTTCTGTACGGAGCAGATTTCAGTAGGTAAAAGAATTACTCATATTTTTATCTCATTTAAAATTATTAACATAGCTGTAGGATTTCCACTGTGATGAAGTTTCTTTGTTTAAAAAAGACATATTTTAAAGCTTAGAGGTCTGTTGAAACTTTGAAATGTTTATTTTTTGGCTGCAAAGTTATAAACTTATACTGTTTTAAAGCTACACTACATTCAGATTTTTGTCATTACAAAGTGGGCATTTTGAAAATATATGCTCCAATGGGAGTACAGGAGGATCGTATTTTTATCTGAGAGCAGGAATTAATCAGCGTATCTGAAGATACATGGAGCAGCTGCCTGATCCCAGTGTCCACTCTGTGGTAGGCTAGTTCTCTCTTTTAACTCACAGTCATAGGTATTATTTTATTTATTATTTTAACATTTGCCAAATACCAAGTGGGCCGTTATGTCACCACTGGGATCTACTGGGATGGGCTATCCAGGCATACCATCTCATATCACTTCTAAAGGAATAAGTGGAGCTACTCTTTCAGGTCTCAGGAACCTCTCCAATGAAGAGAGAAACTCAAGGACTAGATCTAACTGTAGGCTTTACAAATACTAGTTTATTTCATTATATGTTTAGCACAAGTAGGTTGCTCAGAAGGTTGTAACATCAGGTTTAATGCTATTTAAAGCACTCATTAATGTGTATATATATATATATATATATATATTCTTATTGCAGAGTCACATAAGTGAGAATGAAGAAGAACTCAAGCTTGTGGAGAATATGTTTCCTGCCTACCAGAATTACACTGAATTGTATGATAAAAACAAGCTGCTTACTAGCAAGGTAGCTGCATAAAAACTTCCACAGCATAGCTTAGATTTATTCATGTAGAGAATATGATGGTAAACTGTATGGTTAACTGAAAAGTTTGTGTTGTTTAGTGATACCTGGGGGAAAAGTAAATTGGTTCTCTGTTGCACAGGTGTTGGTCAAGGTATTGGAACTTTATTCATGCCCAGACTTTTCCTAAGCATTTTAGGGGAGATAAACAATAAAGAATTTTATGCTTCCTGATCCATTTTCCAAGGGCTCCAAAGAGAATTGGGGCAGTGGGATCAGAAGGAGACTAGGTAAAGCTGGTGTTGTTGGAGCTGGTAGTTCTTGGGCAGTACCCAGTTATCCTTGTATTACAGTATTCTTACCTGAAGGTTTGTTCTATGGTGTTATGATAAGACCAACTTCATCCTACAGAAAAGCAGCTTGTTCTGTTGTGTTCTGTGTGTGAACCTCAGGTACAGACAGGTATGCTTTACTGTTCTGACTATCCAAAAGCACTCTCATCTCATTAGTTGATTTTACCAAGTATTGAGGGGCACAGTGGCCTGAAGAGTTGAAATTCATTCAAGCTTTATGCTGGTGAGGTAAATGCAAGCAGATCTGATACCAGCCCACACTAAGAGTGCCAGGGCACACCTTATTAGATAGGGGAGAATGAATGCAAGACTGAATATGAACAGCGTAACTACAGTCAGAGTGCTTAAACATCAGTCAAATTGATTTAAAATTTTAGGAGAGAATTTTCAGAGGCACAGAAGGGAGCTGGGAACACGCTGGGAATTAGCTGTTGAACTCCCATTTCTGTCTTCGAAAATGTACCCCAGTAAATTAATTATTTACAGTCCTTTTTACCTCAAAAATCAATGTGGACTTCTTAAATATGTACACAGTATTAACTTTTGTTTTCTTGCACGGTCCTATGCATGCTGATTTGTTACTTCAGTGTACTAAAGAGAATATTAGTGCTACAAAAATATAGGTCTTAATTCCGTCAGACTTTTATATGCACAGCACTGAAAACGGTCACTGAAAATCAGGATCCTTCTGGTGCCAAGCTCCTGGTTGTTTGGGGAAGCATTTTATTAAACACAGGCATAACAAAACTGCAGACATTCCCCCCTCCTGAACCACCAAACTAAGACACCAAATTAAATTCTTTTTGTGTTTTAAAAGTATGTTTTTCAGAGCTGTGGCTGAAATATTTCCTTCTTTTTAAAAAGTAGAGATCAGCAGAGATATGGTTCAGCAACTACCACATCTACATCCCTAACTTAAGATGTGGCTATTTTAATTGCATTTTCAATTTAATTTGAGCTTGATGCGTAAAGATGGCGAGGGTACCATGCTATTAGGACATGCTCAGTGGAAAGAGTCCCTGTGCTGTTCTCATTTTTATCAGCAGATTGCAATGCCTAACAGAGCTCTTGCTCTTCTCTTTGAGTGGGCATTTGGCATACGAGTTAATTCCAAGTAGATTTGTCTGGGAATAATTGGTTTATGTCCCATTAAATGATACTATCCTATACTTCTGTGTTTTGTGTATACTGCTTGTGAGCTTATTTTTTAAAGTCAGTTATGTAAGCCAATAAAGAAAAGCAATTAATCAGTTGCATAACAAATTGTTTTAATTGAAGAAGATTACAGAGATATATATCTACCTGGTGCAAACCTTTAGAGAGACAAAGGGAAACATGCTAAGACTATGTACATCTGCCAATATATCTGATATACTCCTAGCCCCAGTACTTAGTCTCTGTGTTAGCTAGGAAATATAAACCATAAGGTTACAACAGTGCTAGGGCAACTGGGGAATTCTTGCTCTTGTTCCTTGAAGCTCTTAGATCATAGTAGTCACTGCAAGAGTCAGCACCCTGTATTCTTAGATTAATAAATGAAAAAATGCTGAGGGAGTGGTATGTTAGGCATACTGAAGTTAATGAGAGTTTCTCCCCTGTTATTTTCAAGAGCTTTGCATTAAGTTCCCTTTCTGGTAGCAGGTATCCTTTTGGCTATTAAAGAGAGGGCAGCAAAAATCAGAGGCACTGAAGTAAATGCGGTATTGAGTAAAGTGATGATTCTGTTTTTCTTTAGACATTGATGGCTCATGCCTGTTATCTTTCTGAAGAAGAGCTGAAACTTTTTAGTCTTCGTGGAGCTGCAATTTCACATTGCCCCAATTCAAATTTTTCGTAAGTTTAAAAAAAAAAAAAAAAA